TTGAAGCCCGTCTTGCGATCTTCATTAACCCATCGATACTCCTTAGTCCAGTCGACCACGTCAGCTCCCTTCTTCTCCCGAGAACCAAGTTCTATTATTTACAGTTCACAAAATCCAGGGAAAAGCGAAAAGAGACGTATCCCAGCCAAACTGGATTCACCACCCTCAAGTCCCTTAAATCCAGTCAGATGGTGTAACTATCTGGGATTCTTTTCCAAAAACAAGATTTATTTTTCCGTCTCAGACTCTCGGCTTTAGAATCAGCCTGGTGTTTTAAGAGTTCACTTGGAGAAGCTTTGGTTTTGCTTTTGAGTCAGACTGATAAGATAAACCCGCCGCCGCTTTTCTTCTTTCAGCCAAATATTTTCATTCTTATTTCAGCTTAATAAGGCTGTTTCATAAATCAGAGGCTTCGGCTTACAGTACTTACTTGTTGTATATTATTAGTTTATATTGATTGCTCTCCTCTCCCCCGGTAAAGGGTTCCTCGCGGCTCAGTGCCAAAAATGGCGCCCGCTCCAGTCCGTGCACGGTGATTTCTTCAGAAGAAAACAGTCTGGGTCTGCTTCCCATTCTTCTCCTTCTGCCGCTCACCATCTGCTTCAGAGAGACTTCTTCTAGACTCTCCTTCGATCCCCATTTCAAAAGGGGGATCCTGGACCGGAGGGTTCCAGTTATTCCAGAGAGCTCTTCTCTGGAGTTGCTGGCAGCACCGCAACAAAGCCCCGCCTCCCCCACTGATACCCATTGTTGATCACATGCAAGATTGTTGTTATTCCAAACTCACTACAACTTGAGGCATGCACCTAGGCTGAGTAGTACCAGTCACATGCCAGATTTGGCTAGAACTCTGGTAGGCAGACAGAAGAGAGGAAGTTCCAGAGAATCCTCTTTCCTTCTCTTTGCTCTTTTCAAGTGTTCAAGAGTAAGGAAGGCAGATTTTCTCACTCACAGTGGAGTGAGCAATAATTCCCTCTTAAGCAGTAAAGTCAAAACTCATTCTGATCAAACATGGGTCGGAATAATACAGTATAAGCAAAATTCAACCTGATGTCAGGCCTCCAAAAGTTGAGGTAGGGGCTCCACCATTTTATAGAGGTGTGGGAACATTACATTTCAGACCAGCAGGTCTTGAATGCAATCTGATAGGGATACAAAATAGAACTAATCCAAGTACTTTTTTTAAAAAAGGAGGGGGGACATCACATCTTAGCCACAGAAAGCAACTTGACTGTAGAGGTGACAGAGGGAATTGCCAACCTGTCAAGAGTAGTTGGCTTGCTACTCAGTATTTTTCACTGAGCCTATAAAAGCAAGGGATTTAAGGGCAGGCCCAAGCCTGAACAGGTTTGTCAAGAGATGCAAATTCTGAATGGAAACGCTCAGTTCCATACTAGAGGCCCAGTAACAGAGAGGCTTCCTAGCATTATTAGACCTCATGGAAGTCTACATATATCCTGTGCATAAAGATGACAAACAGCATTTGATATTTGCTTACCAGGGACACCACTATGTATACAGATCTCTTCTATCTTGGCTTAGATTACTTAGTGTTACTGGCATCCTTTGTTGCTTATTTTCAAAATGTACTGGATGTGGAGGAAAAATAGTTCCTTCTGACAGCTGTTTTCAGCTTGTTTTGCTTTGATATACCCATTTGTCTCGGGCCTCTCCAAGTCCAGGATTTCATTGAACGGGGACAAAAGCTCTAATGGTCATAGCAAATTATTGTAGAAGTCACATAAACTGGCTGATCAAGTGATCCCAAATTGTCTTCTCCACTCGTCCTTGTTGGCCTCAACATTGATATGTCCTACAGGATTTAGGTATTACTCATGGCATTAACCTCTGATATGATCCTGTTGTGGAATCATTGCACACTGGCTCCAGGCAAGGGTCTTTTTGTCACAAGAGGGCAGAAAACATTCTTCTTTTTAATTTACTTTTTAACAAACACACAGACTCAAAAATGACAATGAAAATTCAAACATACATTGATTCTTTAGCATTTATTTATTTATTTATATTATTTATATTATTTATATTATTTATTTACTTGATTTATACCCCGCCCATCTGGCCTATAAGACCACTCTAGGCGGCTAGAGTGTCCTTTCATCAGGACATGCGCTAGAGATGGATTTCATATTTTCCTGAAATCATTTTTTTACATACCTCTTCTGATTTACATATGACAAGCCGATTTATCATTGATAGCTATGTTCCACATTTCTCTACACCATTCTTCCATGTTTATCTGATTGTTGCATTTCCAGTTCTTTGCAATTTGTAGTCTTGGCACAGTTCCATTATGATAACTAACTCCTTTTCTCTCTCTATTTACCTGCTTATCATTCACTATGTTCAGTAAAGCAATCATTGCAATCATCAGACGTCTTTCTATGCCTTTCATTTTCGATTTCTTTGTCCATTTCTCTAGTTGCAGTATATGTAACCATGTGAACTCCTCTTCTCCCAACACTTCTTTTATTTGATCTTTATCCTCTGTTTTTTCCAGCCATTCCTTAATTCTTATAATTCCTTTATCTTTTATTAACTCCTTTAGTTTCCTTTTAAGATTTTCTGGGAAGTTCTTTATATCGACTATCTGTGTCAAGAGGGGAAATTTGTGGGCTCATTATCTTTGATAATTTCTCCATCTTTCTAACAAGGTTTTCATAAAGGGGTTTGGCATATTATTATTAATCTTTTCCCTAATTCATTCTTCGAAGACAATTCTAAATGTACCTAATTTTTACTCTTTTCAAGTTCTTTCCATATCAGGTTATTGCTATTTTATTTAACATAATTTTTAACATACCTCTTCTGATTTTCATATGACCCAATTTATGATTGAATCTAGAACGTGTCTTAATTGGTTTGCTATATAATAACTTAATGCTGAGTATGCCTAAACTTCCCTCTTTTGATGAAATGTACCACAATCTCATACTAATCCTAGCTCTTTTGTTTCAATTGCAGTACTTATTTATCGAAATCTGACGTTCTTTAAGTTGTTTTTCTTTTACCTTTACTGGTAACAGAATAATAAAAAATTTTAAAAATATATTTTAAAAAATAAAAAAAATTGGGGATTATTTTAATTTACATATTGCTATTCTACCAAACCAGAGCTTTAATTTTTGATAATCATAGAATCATGAAGTTGGAAGGGGCCTACAACCCCCCTGCTCAATGCAGGAATACAAATCAATGGATATCTGCCAGGTGGTTGTCTAAATTTCTCTTTAATGACTCCAGTGTTGGACCACTCACTACCTTTTGAGGTAACTGATTCCATTGTCATACTGCTCTAACATTTAGGATGTTTTTCCTGATGTTCAGCCAAAATCTGGCTTCCTGTAACTTGAGCCCATTGTTGCATGTTCTGCAGTCTGGGGTGATCAAGAAGAGATCCTGCCCCTCCTCTGTATGATAGCTTTTCAATTATTGAAAAGTGCTGTTATATCTCCCCTCAGTCTTCTTTTCTCAAGGTTAAACATGACCAATTCTTTCAGTCTTTCTTCATAGGGCTTGGTTTCTAACCCCCCTTTTGCTCTCCTCTAAACTTGTTCCAGTTTCTCAGCATCCTTAAAGTGCAGTGTCCCAAACTGGTCAGAGTACTCAAGATGAGGCCAAATAGAGCAGAACTATTACCTCACAGGATTTGGAAACTATACTTCTGTTAATGCAACCTAAAATAGCATTTGCCTTTTTTGGAGCCACATCACACAGTTGGCTCATATTCACCTTGTGATCCACAACAATTCCAAGATCCTTCTCGCTTACAGTATTGCTGAGCCAGGTATCCCCCATTTTGTAACTATTGGTTTCTTCTTCCTAAGTGCAGTACTTTGCACTTAGCCCTGTTAAATTTCATTCTGTTGTTTTCAGCTCAGTGCTCCAGCATATCCACATAATTGCAGATATCTTTCTTCAACCTCTCTATGTTCATTTTTATTATGTCCTACATTTCCCATTTTATGATTATCATCAAATATTTGATAGAACTTTTAAGTTTTCCATCAAATTTATTTTTCATATACACCTTTTCTTGCTGGTTCTAGTTTGTTTCATTAAAACATTATATTGAGTACTATTTTCATTAAGTCAGCCATCTGTCTCCCTTTCAAAAATGTTTTGATCTTTATATAAGTTTCAATAAAATCATGTAGTCCATTTGCCAGGATCACAATAAATATCTTTACATTTTGATTTAGCAGTGAGATTGGTCTATATGCTTCCATAGCAAGGGATCTTTACCAGGTTTTAATATTAAATCCATAGTTGATTCCCTTCAAGACTGAGGAATTTCTTCCCCTTCTAAGTGGCAAGATGAAACATCCTTTGCTGATTTTAATGGCTTTTAATATGTCTGCTTAATTTTAATGTTTTTTATGGCAAGGTTGGTTTGCATGATTTTACTATTTTTTACCTCAGTCTTATTTTACCTTTTTTTTTTCCTTTAACAAGCTGCCTACATGTTAATCGAAAGGCAAGGTATACAGATGAAAACACATAGCAGGACATGTTAGGTATTGCATACTAGTCTAAAAAGTTTATTTTTACTGCCTTATAATCAGTCAGTGGAAACAGTTTGCAATTTAGGAGGTACATTCCACAGCCTAGGTGCCACACAGGAGAAGGCCCTCTCCTATATCCCTGTCCAGGCAGAGTCGTCTTCTCCCTCAGCTGACCACTCAGACAAGGAGCTGGAGCAAGGATGACCTAATTTGTGCCCATCTCTAGTTGGCAATCCAGGACCCTCTTCAAGAGCCCAAAATAGACTATTGCAATACAGAATAGCCCAACATAGAATACTGCAATAGTTAAGGTATGTAACTAAGACCACCTTGTAAAAACTAGGTCCACTACTCAAAAACTGGTAATCACCCCACCAGGATCTGCTCAGTGGCCTCTACCACTTGCCCATCTCAGTTGAGCTCATCCAAACAGCATTACAAAACAGTAGGAATGTTTGAGTCCAAGTCCCACGTCTGAATCTTTGGTACCAATTCCTGAGTCCCAAGCCCCAAATCTGAGCCCAGAAAAAAGAAAGGGATGGGTGGGTTCTGTGTAAGGAGGTCTGAGGCTTGTGAACTAGCTCATTCTTGTGCTTGGGGTTATGACCAGTACAAAAAGAAGGCTGATCCTGCCTTGTCTTCCCTCACCCCCTCCAACACCCCTCTCAAAAATCCTCCCTCCCTTTCGCTACCTCCTCCTCTGTTTGCGCCATTTGCCTGCTTCTCCTGCGTCTTCTGGTGAGCATCACAAAGCTTTTTCCAGTGAATGTTACAAAGCTTATTCCAGGTTTATGGTGTTCTTCATTAAAATAATGACTCGAAAATGTAACTTGGAAAAATGGGTCCGAGTCACGAGTCAGGTTTGAGTAACTGAAAAACAAAGTCAAGTCGCCGGTGCAACTTAAGTCCAGGTCTACATCATGTTCTGCAACTCAAATCCCCATTCTAGCAAAATAGCTTAAATTTCATATTCTCACTCAATGTTTCTTTGCTTATTTTGTTTGCCACCCAAGATCTCCCCCCTCCAGCAAATCCTTTTTATACCTCCACTACAATCTGTAGTATACCTCCACCAACACTTGGGTCTTTTTGTTAGGGAAGTGCTTTCAGTTCTATGACACAGCCCTTTCGCAGAGAGCTGTGCCATAATTTCAAAGAGCTTCCATCCTATTGATTTTTTTTGTGTCACAATCCCATCAGCCCCTCTGAAACAAGAGATTGGCTGTCTGCTATGGAAAGACATGACAGACTTTCTGACTTAGTATGTCATAGAAAGGATACCTTGTTGTTGCCACATGGGCTTCTCCTTTTACTTTTTCACTACCCCAAGCGAGACGGGATTCAGCCCAATTGCAGATCTGCATGGGATCAACTACTTTATTTAAACAAGTTTCCTATGGTGATAGATTTATCCACTGTCACTTCTGTGTAAGGATGTCCGTGATTCACATCCATGAATTTGAAAGATGCGTACTTCCAGATCTGTGTTTGACCAGATCACAAGTGTTGCCTTTGGTGGACAGTTGTTTCAGCTCAAAATACTCCCCTTTGATCTGGCAGCTGCTCCAGGAATCTTTAGAAAATGTATAGCTTTTCTTGTTGCTGTTCTCCAAGCATGAGGGACAATTATTTTCCTTACATTTATAACTTTTTCTTGTGGTAAGATCGAGCATCTCTAAGTCATCACACTACTATCACTCTCTCCTTGAGCCACAATTTCAGACTACCGATGAATGAGGAGAAAAGTGAGAGTTACTTCCTTTCTATAGGGAGAGCCATAGAAATACCTGATTCATCAGCTGTTCCTACCTATAGCAGGGGCATCCTGATCTGTAAGATGTTCTCCTTCCACTCCCCAAAATGAACGTCTCATAGTGAATAGCAGGTCCTAATTATGTATTGTATATCTTTGTTAACCAGAGAAAGAATACCACCATATTCAAATAATCATTTGAAACTATTTCAGCTATTAAGAAAATAATCATTATGTGTAATTTGGGTAATGCATTGCAACTCCACAAAGAATTCAGCAATGACATAGGATTCAGAGAAACATAATTCTGATGGTTATTTCTACTTTCTTATTTGCAGGTGAAAATCTGGACCAGGTTGATTGGTCGTGGGTCAAATTAAAACCCCAACAGGTGGTAGATGTCCTGGTGTGCATGCTGTATAACCCCAGTGAGTTCTACTGCCACTCCTTAACCAATAATGGTACATAACTTTTTTACCTTTTACTTTCCTTTTTTCTTGTGTATTAATATTGCATTAGAAGGTTCTGTGGCACTATTACATCTGTGCTCCTGGATCCATGCTTCTTTGTGGTCTTTGTGAATGCACACAAATGGGTTAAGTCTGCACCTGCACAGGACTCCTCAGAACTTTCTAGAGCTTAAGTCATGTGTTTAGTAGGATGTTCCCTCGTGGAGCGCATGCTTCACCCATCGAAGAGTCCCTCAGTTCCTTTTTGCTGCCACTGAGGTCAGACTCTTTACGAGGCTATAGCGAACTTTTATTTCTTGCAATCTTTGTGATTATCATATACAGGGCTTGAAAAATGCACTCGTCTTTGATGAGTGAAAAATGCTGCTGGACAAGTCACAGCTGCTTCCCTGCCTGCCTCCTTCCCCTCCGACACACTCTCTCTGTCTAATCCTGCAGTCCTCCCCTCTCCCCTCCCATTGCAAATGGAAAACTGTCCTCTTCTCTTGAGAAGAGAGTTCGAGCAGCACATAGAGATATTGCTCTGCAGGAGAACAAAGAGGAGTCTCATGCTGGAGAATATGGAGTTCTTCTTTGTGGCTTCTGTGAATCACACTGGGTGATCCACGGCTGCGTGGAGCCTCATTGAAAGGTTCTAGAGCTTCGGCGGTAGCAAAAAAAATTAGAATAAAACCCCTCCCCTCTCGTATAAGTACCTTAGCGCCAAGGCTCCCCGTATAGTTTCTAGTTTCTTTCAGCCACCGCGTTGAGAGCCTCAGAGTTCTGCTTCTGTGAGTAAAAGAGAAAGAGTTTATTCTTTATTCTTTACTGTTATCAATCTTTTTTCCTTTAAACTTTTATATCAAATTCATTTTCATCAGATTTTTTTTCTTTTCTGCTTCGCTTGGCCTCCAGCCTCAGCAACACCCCCCTCCCCGATCATCAATTTTTCTCCTCAAATTATTTTTCTCCTATTCATGGCCCCTTTGGGCCAGTTTAAACACTGCATGGCCTGTGATAACAAAATACCACTCTCCAACGGCCACACCAAGTGTCTTTTTTGCTTAGGGGAGGCACACCAGACATCCTCCTGCCAACACTGTAAGAACTCCAAGCACGGAGTCCTCCATTCTCCTTTGTGGCCTCTGTGAAACACACTAATGGGTTAATCTGCACTCAAGCAGAGCATCTTCAGAAACTTTCACAGCTTTAAGCACTTAGTGCCGGGAGCTCCCCTACACCGGCTATATAACTCCGCCCCGGCACCCAATGCCTCAGTTCTTTTTTTGACCCCCGCTGTAGCAGCAGCTCAGCAGCTTCGTTTGGAACTTCACAAGTAAAAAAAAATCAGTTCCTTATCTTTCCTTTCTTTTGACCTCCCCTTGTTCTTTCTTCAGTAACGAGTTGCTTCTTCTGCCTGGAGGAAGAGCACTAGCCAGCGTTAGGTATTCTTTGTAAAGGCTTTACAAAGCCCTTACAGAGCCGGCTTTGGAGCCCTCAGGGCTTTTCTCTTAAAGAAATAAGGTCTCTTTTATCTTATTAGTAAGGTTACCCCTAGGCTCAAGAGCAACAGCTATCTACCTGTTTGCAATCTTCCTCTTTGTGTTAAAAAAAGAAGAGGATAGCATCTGAGCTAACTGCAGAGAGCTGGGTGCCAGCAGCCCTAGCTTTGCCCTTGGAAGAAGAAAGGACCCTCTGCAGCTCCTGCTGCCATCCCCGCTTGTCAGTGATTCTCCTAACTGGGGTAAAGCCTCTTTGGAGGTTGACGTGGAACAGCTCTCTTGCATCAAGAGGTTTATTCATACAGCTGTTAAACCTGCAGTGAGTTGGGCATCTGTAGCCCTGCCCTTGGAAGAAGAAAGGGCTTCCTGCAGCTCCAGTCACCATCCCCGTTTGTCAGTGACTCTGTTGTTATTCTTGATAACCTGCTCAAGCTCTGGAAGGTGGCACGTTTTGCGGCGTAACAACCACAAGTACCTGGAAATGTTCCTAGCAGCCTCGGGCATCCCAGGAACGTCAAAAGCCTCAACCCCAAATTTACCATCCGCCACCCCCTAGACATGTGGGCAGGCAGCGCCCTGACCAGCAGGACCACAACACCAAGCAGTTTCTTTACTGCACCTGACTTCTCTGTCGTTGACCAATCATTCCATTTGACCCCTTGTCTTTCCAATTGGTGTTCCTTCACGTCTAACACTTTCGTACTGTCTATCATAGCTACCAGCTATGCCACTGAATTCGTTGTACCCCTGTCACAGGCCACATTATGGCGACCCCCACCCCCCAAAAAAGGATGGAGGCCTCTGGCCCATCCTTGATTTTGGAGGCCTGAATTCTTTTATTACTCTACCTAGTTTCCATATGACTTCCTTGGACTCTGTTATTCACATGTTACATCCAGGGAGTTGGTTTACCGTAAGATGCTCATTTTCATGCTGGCATCCGGTCAGACCATTAACACTTTCTGAGGGTTTCAGTTGGGGGAATCTCTGTCTCTTTTGTCAGCGTTAGGACTAAAAGTCAACACAGAGAAGTCGACTTTGCAACCTGCAAATTATATTAATGCAACTTTGAATGCTTTCTTGAAGCAGGCTTTTTTCCCCTGACAAGTCTGTGAAAATGCATGATTTCTTATGCTCCTTTTCTTCAGGCACTTGGTTCCCTGTCCTACAGGTCCAGTGACTCCTGGGGCTGATGGCATCTACCACAGCCTTTGGTCTCTTGACCCAGTTGGTTCAGTCAGTGGTGGATGCCAGCCTGCCAGGCTGGGGGAGCTTATCTACGCTGCCATGTTGCCCTTGGCTGCTGGTCCATGATAGTAGCCGGCCTGCATATCATTGTGCGGGAGCTCCTGCCAATCACCAAGGCCTTTCAGGCCTCTGAGCCCCTACTCTGGGGTCGGGTGGTCCAGGTCGCATCAGACATTACCGCTACAGTTTATTATATAAACAAGCAGGGCAGCATTCGCTCATTACACCTTCTCTTTCACACCATCAACCTTTCAGAATGGTGTTATGCTCACCACATTTATCTGGTGGCTGTACATTTGGCAGGCGAGAACAATTCTGTAGTAGGCCATCTCAGCAGACTACAGTCCTGCTCTCACGAGCAGGCTCTTGATGACGCTGTCTTTTGTCACCTCTGTCACTGATGGGGGATTCCAGACATAGACATTTTCACATCCCGGACGAACAAGATGTATGCCATGTTCTGCTCCCGAACCGGCATCAGCTGCAACTCCCTAGAGAGCGCTTTCCTGATGAATTGGTCACGGGGCTCCTTTACAGGTTTCCACCTTCCCCCCTTCTTCAAAAGACTGTTGTTCGAGTCCAACATGAGTGTGCAAACGTAATGCTTGGTCACCTCGCTAGCTATGGTTTTCAATCATACTCCCATGAGCCACAGAATACATCAGGCTGCAGCGGGTTCCTCACCTACTATCTCGGGACAAGGGTCAGATATTTCATCCAGACCTCAAGTCCCTGTACCTGTCGGCTTTGAGTCTTTCTCAACAGTAACAGATGTGCTCAGTCACGCTCACAAACCTTTTACCACCTTGATCTACTCCTTGAATGGGTAAGTGTTCTGTCACTTTGCATCAAGACAACATTTGCCTACTAGGCCAATGTCTCTGGATGCATTCCTTCAGTTTCTCCTTCACCTGTTTTGCCTGGGACTGGCCTGTTCTACCTGTAAGCTATTTCTCCGAGGCCTGGAGAATATGCAGCCTGCCTATAGACCACTAACAACTCAGTGGTGTCTCCAAATAATTCTTCGGCGGCTTATGAGGCCTCCCTTCAAGCCCTTGGTGTCAGCATCGCTCCACTTGCCAACCCTCAAGACTGCCTTTCTCCTGGAGATATCCTTAAGCTTGCAGGGCTGGAGGACTGGCTACACTAAGAGCAGGTCCTCCTTTCTGCAAAGTAACCTTGCAGCCAGACCTTACCTTCCTGCTAAGGTATTTTCTGCCTTCCATTTGAACCAGCCAGCTCCCTGTCTTCTTTCCCACACCACCTTCACTGACTGAGATAGCCCTGCATGCTCTACACTGGAAGCGTGCTCTGTCATATGTGCATTGCATGACCGCTTTTCGTGCCTCACAACGTTGCTGTGTCGCCTTTGCTGGCTCCTCCTTCAGAGCACTGGCTTCCTCTCAGACCATCTCTAGATGGATAGTCCAGACCAGTGGTTCTTAACTTTTGTTACTCAGATACTTTTGAACTGCAACTCCCAGAAACCCCAGTCAGCACAGTTGGTGGTGAAGGCTTCTGGGAGTTGCAGTCCAAAACTCCTGAGTAACCCAAGGTTAAGAACCAGTGGTCCAGACCATCTGTCTTCTCTGTGATTTCACAGAGACTCCTCTTCCAAAATCAGTGAGAGCTCACTCCACTAGAGTTGTAGCATCCTCAACGGCCTTTCTCTGTGGAGTGGACATCGTGGATGTCTGCCGCACTGCCGCATGTGCCACTCCGTTTATCTTCATCTCACACTACGGCCTGGATATCCGGCCAAAGGATCAGGCTGTGGTAGGTCGAGCTGTCCTGGCTTCTGCACTTTTGTGATGTCCTTGCTCCTGGTTAGTCAGCTTGCCAGTCATCCATTATTGGGTGTATTCACATAGGCCACGAAGGAGAAAGAGAAGTTACTTACCTGTAACTCTGGTTCTTTGAGTGGTCCTCTGTGAATTCACACGTCCCACCCTCCTCCCCGCTGTCCGTCACGTGTGTCGTGGCATGCTGGGCAGCGGCAGTCACTTCCTTGGAACTGAGGCACTGGGTGTCGGGGGCAGAGTTATATAGCCCGTGTAGGGGAGGTGCTGGCACTAATTGCTTAAAGCTGTGAAAGTTTCCAGAGATGCTCTGCTCGAGTGCAGATTAACCCATTAGTGTCTGTTCACAGAGGACCACTCGGAGAACCAGAGTTACAGGTAAGTAACTTCTCTTTTCTCGCTTATCCAGATTAAAACTCTGTCTTTGGGAACAATCCCTTCAACCAACCAAAATGGCCCAACCTCCTTGTAAGGCCACCTCACAAACCAAAGCAATGGAGAAGGCTCTTTCTGAAGCCTCCAAACAACATCCATCGACCACACCATCCCACTCCGATGCTCCATCCACTTTGTCTAAAATTCAGAAACCCATAAATCAAAGTGCTCGATACTGAAATCCTTGATACCAAAGCCCTCCACTAAACTTCAAATGTCCACCAAAGCCTCTTCGGTCC